GTGAACTCGTATGGGAATGTGCAAAGCAGAGAGTCTTTTGGAGGTGAGGCCCACACCTGGACCTTTGTGGAGAAGCTTACTTCTCCTGATTAGCAGAATAATACTGAATTCTAGATTTCCATATAACTTCACTATGGATTACAGAGATCCTTCCCAATTAAGTGCATTCCCTTTCAGTTACGATCAAATCAAGTAGTTGTATTCTCTGGCTACTATAAAAGCTTCAATGATTTGAAACAAACTGCTGCTCATTATAAACAGTTTGCATTAAAAAAAAACCCCCAGCAAATACAACTGATAGCATGGAACTGTGACTACTGTTATGGAAGCATAAGAATAGGGAACTAGGTTTGCTTTTCTCTGTGGAGTTAATACTTTTTGTTATCTACGCTAGTGAGGATGTTCATATTTGCTTCAATTTTCTCTTTGGACACAGAAAAATCAAACTGGAGAAAACTGTTTTGTTCTAATCAAATCACATAAAGGGTCAGTGAATGAAGAATGAGGAAGATAAAGAGAGTAAAGGAAAAATGGAAATAAATTAAACCAGATCTATATGCTGAGTTAGGACTCCTTGACCCCAGTCTCAGCTGAACTTAACGTAATTGTACTAAAACTTTCCTGCAGGTGAAGAGTGGAAAAGGTATTTCAAAATGCTAGAAAAAGTATGTTAAGAAATGGAACACTTCGGGTTCCAGTGCTACAGTGTTCTAGTGCTTCTAGTGTTCTGACTCAAACCAGTTAAAGCACTGTCCTATTACTGGTGTAATGTTACTCCTTTGTTTTAAAGAGAACAGCATCAAGATATATTTGGTAATGCTGTGCTCTTTGTGATGTTATGTGGTTATGGATATTGTGCCTCTGGTGCATGTGTTCCTTCCTTCCATTAAGGATACAAAATTCCTTTTTCTTTTGTGGATAATTCAACAAAGTCTTGATATAGAGTGCTGTACTGAGATAATACTTCCCTAATATGACTGTTCTTAGCTTGAACTATTAATATCACTTTAAGCATTTGTATTTTAATGTAATATTTAGACATAGTTTATTAAATATTGTACACAGAATTTGGTCCATCACAATTCATGTCATGACTTAATATACAGCTATTGTTTTATATACAAATGCGGCTACAGAAACAAGCATGAAATAGTTTGTACTGACATCCACTTGCAAATAGTTTTGCAAATCCAAACAGCAGAAATTTCAGCAGTGATCTTTCCTATCAGCAGATGGAGACAGAGCAAATGGTAACTCTGTTTCCAGGGTAACTTTTGTTATTCCATGGGCTAGAATGCTTTACTGGCTAGTTTAACCTACTGGTTCAGTTTTCAGGAAATGATAAAAGATTTCTCAAGAGTTTGATCAAAACTATTAAAAAAAGTTAAAAAAGGAGGAAAATTTAAATTTCCATCATTTTATTGCCTGTAAGTAGAGCACCAACGATTTTGGTCTGTCTCATCGAAAACAGCTGTTAAAATAAGATTCCTATAAAAGGTTCTATGACATATTTTCGTCATGGTTTTCAGTAAAAAATCTGTCATGTTTTTAAAATAAATGGAAATAACCTAACTTTTTGGGCTACAAATACCAGTTGTTTTCAAAGAAAATGACATCAACAAAGTTATGTGGACTCCCACCAATTAGAAATTGATTTGAAAGAGATTTTTTGACCATATACAGTTATATCAAGCAGAACTGCCCTGAGTCCAGGGACTCCTGCTTTTCTTTGTAGTGGAAAGACTCCTGCAGTAGCTGATAAAAGCAAAACTGGTAAGCTTTGACTCCTGTAATTAAGAACTACTTTCTATCCCAGTATGGTTGGATCACGCTGTCAAAGGCATGCAGTAAACTATAGCCTGGGACCACAAGTGAAAAGCATGACACAGTCTGTTGGCTGCAGCCAGCGTTGGGTGGGGTGAGCTGCAACAAAAATAAGTGCAAACACCTTTTCTCATTCACAGATTAATTCTCTGCCATTCTGTGTACCTGTATACCAGTATAACTAGTTACAGAACCTGGGTGAGTGTTTTTTAGTATACATATTAAAAGTATATAAAAGATTAGAAGTATAAATACATATATGCATATCTGACAGCTCAGATTAGAGTAAATGGGTTTAAGGATGGGTTTAAAGCGCAGGATCTGCACTTCTGAGGTTTCAGCATAAGCAAGACGTTGTTGTTGGAGGTCCTTGCCTTTGGAATTTGCTCCTTCTGGCACTCTGACAGGGAGAACTTTGTTAGCCTTCAGATCATATCACAAGACCAATCGTTTCCATCAAGATTTGGCAGCATGGCTCTAAACAAAGGCTTATTTTCCTAATCTTTGATTTGTTTTTTGAGGGAAGACTAGTTAATTGGAAGAGGGTTAGCAGTACTGCCCATTGAGGGCATCTATAAACAGAAGTTTTCTTTTATGTATGAGGCACCCAATGCCACGGTAGTGGGTACACTATAAATAATTAAAACAAACATGCAGATAATAAGGGAATTCAAAACTCGGCACATATCTAGCTGTACTATTGATTGTAAACTGTTCATTTAAAAGCAGAAGTAGCAAGATGCCCAAATTACTCTTTGATGTTTATAATGCTTTGGTCTCTAAGAACACACATACACATGCACATACTTTCTTTTGGATACATTACTGGCCTTGGAATTTACAGGATCTGCAGAAATTCGCATTATCCATCTATCCCCTGGCCTGAATGGGCTATATTTCTCAAAATCAGGAAATAGTTTCTCAGATTAAAAAAGAAGAAAACTGTTCAAAGGTGTTAGAGACAGCTTGTTTTAACAGACTGATTTTATTCTTAGAAAAACAAAAAAGGGCTGCAGGGGGGAGATATGTATTTTAAATAGTCTAGATCTGTTTAATGATCTTCCTGTAAGTCTGAGTAGACTAATGGGTATTTTCCAAATGGTATCTTCTGTAAAAAATTCAGGTTCCCTTTGTCTTCTGTCCTAAACTGATGGATAATATGACAAGGTAAATTTTAAGGAAGCAGAATCTGATTAACTGAGAGGAAAACCTCCCAACAAATACTGCAGATATTCTGAAGGGATATCTCTGGTTGACTGCAATCCATAATAAATAACAAATAGGATAAGGAAAAGGAAAAGGCAACATCCTGTTGCTGCTAGCAAAGGTTGAATTCTTCAGTAAGATAAACTAAGCTAGTAGAAAACTAATAGAAGTTCAGCAGCTAGACAGCAAATATTATCTTTGGGTTCTTCCACAGCTTTTTTTCTTAGGAGGGAAAAAGTCCTTTTTGTGTACATGATGGGTTGCAGCAATGACTAAGGAATTTAAGAATTTTCTTAAAAGGTTGCTTTTGTGTTCTAATTTCATTCTGGACCTGGTCTTATATATGCAGTTTTCTTTGGAAAGGAGTAAATACACAATTCACATAAAACACGATAACCTTTGTTTGGACGATGGTAGTATCATGAATGTTCCTCCGCTTTGGTCTTCTTTGAGATCCAGGGAAGCATGCCTACTCGAGTCTTTATGTTTTTTTCCCCAGAATGTGAAATAATTGACTGAGAATCTCTCCATTCTTGTTGCAAGTTTTGATTTATGTTGATTTGTACGTTCTGGGCAACTCTGGGCAACTCTACTTCATTTTAAGATATGGCTAATTTGCTAGACCTAAAAGAAAATGTATTTTGGCATAGAGTGATTTATTTTTTCCCCTCCATATTCCTCTTCTTAGGTGCCCTTTATAATGGACTTGAGTCATGTTAGATGGAAGCGTCTCTATTGTATGTGGTTACGTGGTTGAAACAATTTTGTGCTTAGTTTCAAGTGGCTGTAATATAAATAGAAGCCACACCACCTCTTTATGTGGGACGATGTATTTTTATAACTTGAAGCATGATGATATATTTGAAGAACAAATTAGTCATTCTCCCTCAAGAACTAGTCTGCCTGAGGTATGCCACAAAGTTGTTTTCAAATTGTTTACCTGGTGTGAAGCCTACTCAGAGTAAAAATAGATTTTTGATTTAGGCTTGGTAATTCCTGTCCTACAGTTCTGTGGCTTAACTGATCACCATGAAACTGTGCTGGTAGAGATCAGCAATACAGCTCTTAATGGTTTATTCACAGAATGTATTGTTACAGTTTGTTCCTTCAGTGTATTAAGACAAGTATGTGGAAGTTGTAGCTGATAATGGGGGATCAGACCTGCTGCCTAGCCTATAAACCCATAAAAGATGCTATTTAGCATTTATTTATGTAGCACTTCTATGTTCGTAGAACCTTGTGCAAATAGACCACATTCTCAGAACTTATTTAAAGGGTCAATAAAATAAACTTCACATGTTGTAAGCACAGAAATGGAAACACAAAGGTGATTTCCAAAGTTGGAACGCAAGCTGACAGCAAGGACAGGGACAGAATCCTATGGACCCCATACTTTGAAAACTGTCAGACCATGTACGATAAAATAAGTGCAACTCCATCTGTTGGCAACCTTTGTCATAATTTTTCTAGTATGTTAAACATATTTCAGGTGGTTCCTAGGTTTGAAAGGCATTTTCCTGAATTGCAACACATAAAACAGATTATCATGTAATTTACTTCTCACAAATGCACAAGAACAACTACTGTCTTAGCATTTTTACTGACATCCTTAGGGCAAATGGTGTCTACAACAGTGCTTCTTATTATTTCTGTGGTATTTAAACGTCCATGATATTTTATACAGATGCAACTGGAAGGAAACAATACAAAGCCTGGGATTTCACTGAATCCAGTTATTAATTTCTGTGTAGAACCACATTAACAGAACATATCACCTGCACTGCTTAATTATCTCTGGAGATAACCTCACTTAAACATGACAAACCTCTATAACATGCTGACAGGTTCTTGCAGCCTGGTAGTTTATGATACGTGTGTGTGTGTACTTCTCCAGCCAAATTTTCTGAGGAAAATTTTGAGCTTAAAATTGAAGAATAAGATGCTCTATTTTAAAAGCAAAGGTTTCCTACCTGAGGCTGCTGAGTGGCGGTGGGTCTCTGAGGAGATGGTATAGGAGTTTTGGACACCATTTGGTTCATTTTGCTTACAACTAGTTCGGTTATATGTTGCCTGTCTTCAGCCTGATGCTCACCAATCAGAGGCATTGCACAGTCCATGACCTGTAAAAATCAAACAATACATCAGCTATTGAGATGGCACCAAGGTAAACTTATTCCATATCTGCGTAGAATGTAAGATCACATATTTTATTTTTTTTACAAAAGGCAAGTGAGATCTTAGAAATGGTATATCAGAGAAAAAGCCTGAGTGTAGGATACGGGTCAGCGGGGCAAGAGAACAGCAGTTTTACAATATCATCCCTTTCCAGTCTTAAAAGCAGTACATAGGTTCAGTATGATATTTGGGCATACACTCTGTGGGGAACATGATTCATGGGGAAGCACATAGCTATAGCAGATAAGCAATATGAAGGTTTCTTAGGCTACCTTGTGGACTGCCAAAAACCTGAAATAATTGCCTGCACTACAGTCCAAACTACATTTTGGAAGCCCTGTTCTCTCATGTGATTTGTGGCTCACACCAGGTTCCTCAGCTGAATTAGCCCATGGAAATGCCAACTAAAACTTTGGCTTTGTAGCTATTTGTTGGATTTCTGCTGAGGGAAGGATGGATCCTTAGGGATTAATGAAAAAGTTGAAATGAGACCATATGCGTTTGTTATTATTGATAGGCTTTTATGGAAAATTGTGAGGCTGCAGTGCAGCTGATGCAAAAAAGACTTAAGAATTTCGATATAGAAAGCAGAATGTCACAGAGGAAATAAAAATGTACGTATTTCCATTCTAAATGTGACAGGTTTATATCGTTTAGCAATTACTTCAATCAGCTTTTCAGATGGGTATAAATAATACTGAATTCAGTTCACTTTGGTTCACAGTGCATTGTAAGTATTTGTTATTTCTATAGTATCCCTATTTTTGCTACATCTGTGTTTGCTTCAGGGAGAAATAAAGAAAAGAATAACTAAATAAACCCAACTTACTACTGACAATCGCACTAGACATCTTATTTTAACACTAAAAAAGGGTTTAATTCACTTCTGAGAAACTGCCATCCTTTTACAGTTTGTTTAAGCGCTGTTCAGAAAGGGGTGAAAGCCTGTCACCGGCAGCCCTGCCTTCTGTTGTTTTTCATAGGTACGGATAAGAAATGACTGCGATCTATAATACAAACAATAATATTAATAATTAATAGGAGGCTGTCTGGGATAAAGCTTAGACTACATTAGCAGTAAGACAACGTGTGGATTTCATTATATCTGATCCAGTTCTATTCTTTATAAAAACAATTGTATCCATCTCATTTTCCGTCTGTGAAAAGCTGCCCAGCTGCCAAATCTCATGCAAGATGTCTCATTAACGTTGGCAAATCATGCAGCGGAGACCACAATAAGCTCTGCTGGTAAAATAAAGGGTGGTGGTGGATGAAGAGCAAAAGAATCCTTAAGTAAGGGATCAGTGGGGTCCTCATAGGTTTTGCACGACCAGAGAAGGATCTTCGAGTTTTGAGGGTGTGTTTTAGTTCAGAACTAAAGTATTAGTGTTTCAGATGGAAAAGACTCTATCTTAGAAGAATCATTTATATTTTAGAAAATCATCTCCTAACCCTCACCTATTCCTCCCCTTAGAACTACCCTCTTCCTCACCCTCACAATGAATCAACTCCCCACCCATTCAACCGTGGCCTTCCAGCAGTTCACCTTCCTGCAGCTCTTTGGCTTCTGGGGCTTCTGGGGCTCTTTGGCTTTTACCTTCTTATTTTAGGTAAAAGGAAGAAGACTCAAAAGGTCCAACACAGTCAAAGAGTGCTGGAGGGCTCTTGCTACCACAGGTAATTACGGGTGCTAATGGCTGGAGAAACACCTTACGCTTCCCCTGCTGCTATCCAGTTTCTAGTAAAAGGACGAGAAAAGAGTGTGTTCTGCTAGTGGGAGGCAGGGCTATTTTGGCTAGAGAAGCTGGTTTCCACGTCCTCAGATGTATGCAGAGCGGGCATTCTCCTGTAGGTTGTTGCCTTGAGCCATTTTTGTCAGACACCCATTTTGTGGGGTTGAAGGGAAGAGACTGAAATTTTGTGATAAGGCCTGATTCTGCAAATATTTGCAAGGTGGAAGAAAGTTATCTATAGGGGTGATACAGAGATCAGGCAAGGGCATCTGCATTGTATGGAACCTCCCTGAGATAGAAGAGGCTATGGCAGGGACAACAGAGCTCTTCTTCATCCATCAACATACTTTAAATATGTACAGGGCACTTTATCTCCTTTCCAGACAAGAGTGCATTTTTAATTTCCTTCTTTTACATATTCAAGTGCTTCTAGGAATAGTCTGGCTGTTTGAAGAGATTTTTTTGTCCTTTAACAACAAACTGGCTAACTGGCTATTTAAAGAGATTTGCATCTAAAAGAACATGCATGTTCATGCTAACACTGGAATGCAATCTTTCATGTTACCCAGTAGAGTATTAAGAAGAAACTGCATTCTGAGGAACATTACCCAAGCTTAAGGCTTTTCAAAATATTGTGAGAAGTGCTACAGAAATTCTTACTGAAGCTGACAAAGACTGCCTTATTCTAATAATGAGTTTAGTTGGAAGCCCCAAAACATTTGCATTATTCTTCTACTTGTTCATTTAAGGTATTTGTTCGTTTAATGGCACTGTGTATTGGCAATCAAGATGTTGGTAACTCCTGCTTTGGGATTTTCAGATGTAGGATATCTCATGTAACCTGCCTCACAGCTAAGAGGTTCTAAAATAAAGCCAGAGTAAACAAAGAAGTAATAGCTGAAGTTCAGAGAGATGTTTCCTATGAAATGAATGAATGTTTTTCTTCTCTTTGGCTACATCAACAATAATGCAGAAATGCTTAACAGTTACACTGAAAGTTTCTATAAAATTTACCATATTGTTTTATAGACATATTTTCACCTGGAACATAAACTATGTTTTTAATTAACTGAGGGAAAGGGATCAAACCAATATGATTTATTATTTCTAAATGAGTAAAGTGTAGTCTTGCTGCCTGTGTGGCTATTCAAATACAAAATTGTTGTAGATTTACTTTAATGTTAATTTCTGCAGAGTTATTGCTATTTGTTAAAATCACTCTTAACACCTAAAGAGTCACTTCATTTTATTACGAACTTTTCCTTGGAAGAGTAATCTTTGTAATTCCTGGATGGAGGAGGCAACCTTATATGCCAGATACTTTGGCTAAGATTTTAGAGCATTAATAGTGACTGAAAGTTAGAATGTCCTGCTGTCCATGTGATGGACGCTGGATGTTTGGCTGCCTACTGCTAAGTGCCTGATTTGCAGAGAGGGAGTGATCTCTGTGACCCCCTGAAAGTAGGCATTAGCAGCAGTTATTTTTGAAAATACTGCTCCTCTCAATATCAAATGTATCGTAAACCCCGTCTTACCTCAACAACAGAAGCAAGTTATCTGTCTTTCACCAGTGTGCAAAAAAACCACCTCACATTGTGTAAAATCCACTGACATGAAAAACTGTATTTGGAATGACTGTGAAACAAAAGTTTCTTAAAATGAGACTCTGCCAGAGGATTAGACAGGATTAAAATCCACAGGACTATGTTCTGACTCTGAGTTGGTGTTTTTAAATGCTTCCGTACATGCGACTTTATGTACGAACTCTTTCTTTAGGAGATACTGCCATTTGATTTATCAGAACCCAAGGGGAAAATGTAAATCTGTTGTTAAAGGACAAAAGAAGCCTTGAGGCCTTGCTCAAAACTACATGTCAAATTCAGTAAATCAATTAACCTATCTGCTCAGTTTGGATGCTTGTAAAACAAGATAATGTCTGTTCTTCTGAGATGTTAGAGGGCTTAATACCATTTTTAAAATTATTTTTGACTGCTCAGATGGAACACAGAGTTTCATACAGAGTTAATTATTAAGTAACATTGTTTTAAGCTCCTATTAACGCAGCAGAGGGAAAAATAACTTCTGAGTGTGAAGTGATTAAATATTGGGAATGGAAAATTACTGTGCACATTCCAAATGAATATGGAATAAATGACAGGTTATTGCTGAACTTTTACCTATGATAGGTATCTGATTTGCTAGTTAAGAATTGCGATGGATAGACTTGATACTGTGACAGTGACATTGCAGCAGCTGAAATCCCAGGGCCTCATCAAACTTTAGTGAAGCTGATCAGATTTCTGAGTAGGCTTTGGGTAGAGATTTCTCATTCTTTTCCTTATAAAGATTGACAGTTTTGACACAAAATAAAATGATATTTTCCCAGCTGGTCGAAAATTATTAGGGATATTCAATTAGGCAAAACAATTTACAGGAATCAGAAAAAAGGCAGGTGGGGTGTTAGGAAAGCCCTTGCGAAACCCCTGCAGCAAAGAAAAGCAGGATCCATGAATATACTTCATGTATAGCTTAAGAAATATCGATTTACTCAGTGCTGCCATCTTAATTTTGAACATAACCAGTTAACGATTATCTTATAGTGCATTCTTTTTTCAGGTTTAACTTTTAGTTTTGTTGGTAGAAAATCAAAACAGCTGTTTTTCATCAATATGTTGGAGAGCCTGAATCATTCTTTAAAGCCTTGTGAATTATCCAAGAAACATTACTATTACCCTGTCACAACGAATGGTTTTTAAAAGCTAATTTTTTTGGTTGTAGTGAATCATTGAGTCTATTCAGTAACAACGTAGTGTCCGGAATAAACGAGTACCTAAAGATTTCTTATATCTTTATAAATGCTTTCATTACTTAACACTCCCCTCACCCAATTCTGAATATTGCTCTAGAGATCAGGCACAATAACCACTACTTTCAGTGTCTGATCCTATCATCTCCAGTGAAAAGTCATCATGGCTCAAGAGACCAGTGGTGAACCTCAAAACAAGTAACTTCACGGAAAATCCATGTACAACAAATCATCTTGCATGTTACAGATGTTACTATTCTCTTCAAGATATGAGAGTTTTGACACTGAAAGCGTGTTGCCATTAGCAACTTGAAACCAAGGATATTTCAATTGATCTAGAGCCACCTAACCGCAGATTTAGGATAAGGACTGCCATAAGCCTGCGCTGGTATTTTATGACAGCTGC